ACACACGTGCGGATTTATCTTGAGCGCAAAGCTCGCGATCGGTAAAAAAAAAAAAAAAAAAAAAAAAAAAAAAAAAGAAAAAACAGAAATGTCCAAAACGAGGAGAAACTCGTTCATGGAATGGAAAACACGAAGTAACGCCGGATTAAGAAAGCAGTCTGAATTTACAATTCTGTCGCACTTGGAATTTCCTTTAAAATACACGGTGAAAACAATCGAGTGGAGTGGGCCAAGAGGGAAATATAGCCTCAAACTTTGTCAGTTCATCCTGAAAAAATATCTTTTCCCTTCTTTCTGTCAAAAAATTACCTTCGCGTGACGATCGATCTGGCCGATTTATTGGGAGAGGTTTGTCGTATTATTTCTCGCGAGAATAAATTCATCTCCCAATTTGCGATTTGTGCAAAGTTCGATTGACTGTGGAATATGTTATCCAATGCAGTAGATAAAGAACAAAGAATCGGTCCTAAAACTGACACACTTTTTAAGACAGTCTAATGACCCAAGCGGTTTAAATAATGAAAATAAAAAAGAAAACATTAATTGCAGAGAAACGATTTGTTTTTTCTTTTTTTCTCGAATGAAGAGAGAGAGAGAGAGGGGGGGGGGGGAGAAAGGGTGAAACGATAAAATATTTTCTCGCCGAGTATGGAGATTGGACGCTTCGTAAGCAGCGTTTCGTTGCCAAATTCTAAATGAAGGACGCGGTAGAAAAGGAAAAAAAAAAACTCGGAAAAAAATTCAAAGTGTAATGCCTCATGTCGCGGTCCGCTCTATATTCTCTAAAAGTCAACGTTGAAAGCTTGCGGCGTAGGTGGTGCACTTGACTAGAAAACGCTTCGTAAACCTTTTGCCGCGGACGTGAAAAGTTTGCAAAGTCGGAAGTTGGCCGAACTCGGGGATATACATCTTTCGCGTTTAACTTTTGTCCTGGACCGTTGCGATAATCCATACGTCGCATACAACTTAATCGCGGGAGCCTTCGTTGAAGTGAAACTTCTCCTTTTTCTTCACCCTTTCGTCGGAATCTTTTTGCAAACGTGCCCCTTGCATATTTGAAACTGTCGAAATTCGAGACGGATGTTTTCGAGCAACTGTCCGCGCTTTCGATTCTCTTTACGATTCGCAATAAACAGGAAGTAAAAATCTCCAGCAGCATACGGCTACTTTCTCGCGCTACGAACAATCACGGTTTTACGACTGTTTTTATTGCTTCGCCACGACCGTTTTCTTTTTTTTTTTTTTTTTTTCATTCCGTTAATTGACAGATTTCCGTTCGTGGTACCGCCAAACGGGAAACGCGACAGAAATTTCAACCGCAGTTAGAAAACAAAAAACAAAAAAAGACTTGAGAAAAAATTCTGAATCGAACGGAGTATCAGCAAATATTTCAACGGTTGCTAAAAAGACGATTTTTGCAATTTTACGAAATTTCTTTCTGTGGTCGTCGTTACATACGAAGCGTAACGATCTTCCGTTTGGAAACCGCAATGAAACGCAGCCGACAGTAACTGTGCTTTCATCGGACAACCTCAAAAAAAAAGATCACTTTCTAAATGGAGGGGAACAATGGTCCGAGCATTCCGCCGTTTAATGCTCGCAGCCGGTTCTTTGACGCCTTTGACGCAATCGTTTCGTCGCGATTGCCCTCGTGCCACGGACTGCCGGGTAATTCCGCTTGTTTTCCGCGGCTCGCGTGCCAAGCGCGTGACAAATTCGCGCGATTGCTGGAAAAGATCGTCCGCGATCTCTTGTACACTTTTCTGGCGTTTCTCTGTGGCCTCGCGTCGGCCAATACCGAATTACCATTTCCGTGCTACCTTTCTTTTTCCCTTTTCGTCGCATTTTTTCGCATTTTTTTTTTTTTTCTTTTTTCTTTTTTGCCCACGCCCGAGCTCCATCGCGCGATGGCAGGCCAGGTTATTGTTTTAAGTGGCACGTAGCTGGCTCGCGATTTTGACGCGGAACGGCCTCGAGGAATATCGTTTTTGGCACTGGCCGCCGAATTCTTCTCCCAATGGCTTCTGGAGGACGGTGATAAAAATGGCTCGCGTGAAATTGACGAGGGTTATTCGACGACTCGAGCCTCGACTTGCTTCGCTTGGGAAATAGAGAAATTCCAACGACTAGTACGAATGTTCTTTTGGTCTCGTTTCTCCACCCTTGTCGAAATTCCAAATAACTCGACCATCCGTACTTCGATTTTTGATATTTTATGCAAATGTTGAGACAACGTGTCCCGTGTTTGCGCATTGTGCGTTTATCGAAATAATATAATATCCCGATTTTTGACGATATTTTCCATCCCGTGTATATTGTATCAGTACCGTGATTTTTCTTGATAACCAAGGTAGCATCTCGTATTTCTCGTTTCACGATATTTAGACAAGACAATCAATCTCGAGCGAGGTGTATCCAGTATCCAAGTTTCAAATCTCAGTCGAAGAGAGTGTCTCAAAAAAAAAAAAGAAAAGAAAAAAAATAACAAATCAGGAAAACGTGGCAGGGAAAATGTAATAATTAGTGCGACTTTTCTTTTTTTTTTTTCTCTTTGTCGCGATCGTAATTCCCAGTGCCGGTCAAATCGAGTCGAACGAGTGTCGTGTAATTAAAACAGGCATACATTTTCTCCACTCCGTGGGAAATGTGCCGGAACGATACGAATAAAAGAGTCGCGAGGCGTGCAAAAATTCGACAATCTGGCTACAAGTGGAACCCCCTCCCCTCCCCCCGGTGAGGGGATACACGTTCGATTGCTTTTTCGAGAGCGATAATTATACGAACGCCCGGTCGATCGGATATTTTTAATTAGTCAGCTATTTGCCACGGTTGCTCGGCGAAGCGGCGATAAACAAATTAATGCGACCGCGTTAAACACTCGAACCGCTGGGTGAGAGAAAATTATTCCCTTGTAGGGATTCGAAGTTCCGTGATTTTCCTCTTCTTTTTTTTTTTTCAACGCCCTCCCATTACGTCGATAATTGCTGTTTTTTTTCTTTTTTTTTTTTTTTTTTCTTTTCTTTTTTCTCCGCGGTCCAACCGACCGGCAAATGGAGCTCGACCAGCCGCTTTCAGCGTGCTAACTTTTTCGTACTCTTTCGTTCAGACAACTGGCCAACTGAACAAATTTCCCTGGCATTTACATCTTCCGCGCAGACCTCGTTCATTAACGAGCGAGAAGATTTTCGTCTGCGCTTTAAACATCAAGGTGGCGTCAAGTTTGACCCGAGTTTTTAAGAGAAATCGGGATTTCTCGTGACAGTAATTAGCGGGCATGTTGAACTTTGTGTTGACATTAAATTTCGACTGTTCGGAGATGAAGAAATCATGGCCAAAATCATTGTTGAGACAACGTTAAAGCGCCTTCACGCGCTCATGATCAGTCGAAGAGATATTCCGTTTGATAAAAGAATTATTTCTTTTAACGAAAACGTACATTTTTCCACCAAGATCCAACAAGATCTTTTCCTTTCGAAAAGATAATTCTCTCGTCGAACTTACATTTATTTCGTGTTGAAAAGAATTTTCATGCGAAAGAAGTTACGACGCTTAGAAATACGTTTGAATGGGAAAGTTCTCGTGGAACTTTGTTTTAGAATCTGTACAACAGAAGTTCCACGGGAACAGAGGCTGTTCCAGAACATTTAATTAAAACGTCCATTTTTATACTCGAGTGCTGTTCATCGAAATCGGTATTTGCTACAAATATTGAGATTTAAATACATATACTTTTCGTATTGATGAACAAATTATCCGCTCCTCCGACAGAGAAATTTTTTTATTTTCGTATTTCACGAGTTCTGAAACATTTATTTACCTATTCTGATCGGGACTTGTAATATACGAACATTCGTTGAAAAAAATGATAAAATACGATACAAATGTGTTTCAAATAGAACCTATTCAAAATTTTCTCGATCCTTTTTAAAAAAAAAAAGCGCTAGAGATTTTAGATGGTAGATCGATCAATTTAAATGTTACAAACTGAGCGAATTGCGAAGCAATGTTCCTTTCGGCAAACGTAGACCGAAATTTACTCTTTGAACAATTTCATTTACACGCTTTCAGTCGTAGGTATGTCCAAAGTGTTGATTTATTTTTAACGCATCATCTTTGCCTTTTCGTGTAACATTTTCGGCCGCATTACGTACAATGAAGGTACTTTAAAGCGCGCCACTTACTCGTTAAAATGCTGCTACGAACTGAATGTGTTTAGAATCCTGATGGTACTTGGAAGTACATGCTACTTCCGCGAAGGAACTTCTAACAAGTTCTCTCCCCTGTCTTCGACTTGGAAGTTTTGTTCTCTTGGTATCAGCAGTACTCGGAGGTATTGCGTTTAGCATGTGCGTAGTCGAAGTATTTTCGTGTATCTTTGACGAGAGAAAAATTACCAGTTACACGATCCAAGACACGGGGATGGGATGAAAATTTAACGGGGGATGTAACAACAAAGTTTCGCGGCTGGTTGAATCACATTTTAAATTAGTAAATTTCGGTTGAAAGAACTTTCTAACAAGCGGAAAGTTCGTTAGATGGAAGTGGCATGAAAATTTTATAATTAAAGTTAGGATGCTGCGTGAGCCATTGAAATTCCTTGGCTCTCTTATTTCTCGGAGCATTGAACTGTTTCCTCCCGCTACGTCGGCTGCGTTTCCAAAAATCCTCGGAAGGGAACCGATAAGAAACAGCAATAAAAACTCACCACGAAATTGCAATCATCGTGAAACAGTCCTCGCCCCGAGCCAAGTATCAATAGAAATCAATTTCACCCAGTGAGTTTTCAAATTCACTGCTTTCCTTTCAAGGCTCTCCACCCTTGCCCCATGAAACCACCGTTTCTTTATTAAGGGAAACCAATCGAACAGAGAATTTAAGTTTCCATACGCGCGAGTTTACGAGCTGGATCGTGTAAAATAAATAAATATGTCGAGAAACGAATGATGCTGACGTGACGAAAAAAAGTAAAACAATTGTTGAGTAAACTTTCACGATTGCAGGGTCCTCGATACAGCTGCTCAAGCTGGACGTGCCCAAGATGGCGGACCCAAGGTCGGACAAGGTGGTGCTGAAATGCGAGTACGACCTCGGCGGCGAGGATCTGTACTCGGTGAAGTGGTACAAGGACGGCGCCGAGTTCTTCAGGTTTATGCCGAGCTCGAGGCCAGCTAGCCGCGAATTCCCCGTCGACGGTGTGTACGTGGACGTGAACAGGAGCGACAGCAAACAGGTGACGCTGCTGGGACAGGCGAACAATCGAAGAGGTTCGTAGATGCAAAAGCGATTTGCCCCGTCTGCTCGATCGCTGTTCGTGCGTGTCTGATAAGAGAGAGAGAAAGAGAGAGAGATACATGTTTTGCCTACGATCGACCGTCAAGCGAGATTGCCAACCTCTGTGAAATCGCCGACACTTCAAACTTTCCGTTCCGTTCGCCTTAAATTTAATTATCCTTATCCGCTTTTCGCGTGCCCCTTTTTCCCGCAATAATTCAGCAAACGTGGAGAAAGAGGAGAAACAAGTCTTCCTCGAGGAAAGAACAAAAAGAAAAAAAAAAAAAAAAAAGAAACCTCCGA